TAAAATTACTATATAGAGTTACTAACTATATTTTATTACTCTACTCTATATTAACACTTTACTATAATAAATACCTAAAGACTTTTAGATAATATAGTATTATATAAAGTCTCTTTATATTAGTTAATAATACTTTATACTATAATAGAAGTAGAAGTAAAATCTTAGATTATAGTAGTAGTACGTTCTTATATAGTATAGTAGAAGTATTTAGTAGTACTAGCGTAATAATAAGTGTATAGTATACTTAGCTCTATAGTAATACTATAAGTATTATAGTAGGTAGTAATTATTCTCTATATAAACTTATTATTATACTAAATATATATAATAAGCTAGCTATACTTAGTAGATAGATAGATAAGAAGATTTATAAATATCTAAGTAAAAGTATACTTATTCTTAAAGAATTAAACCTATATAAAATATATAGTATTATTAATAAGAAATAATATATAGCGCTTTTTTTTAATTCTAGAAATAGAGTAAGAACTCTAGGTATTAACTATAATAAGCTTACTAAAGTGTTTATAGTATTAGTTTATAAAATTCTAGAAAACTTTATAAAGAGTATAAGTAGTAGTATAAATAAAGTATATATTCTTTACTTTTATCTAGATTTATTTATTAGTAACTTTTATACTATAGCTAATTTTTATAAGCTAATATATATATTCTAAAAAGAAATAGCTAAGTTAATAGTGTTTAAACTATATAAAGTTATTAAAGTTAACTATAGCTATAGTAAGAAGGTTAAGTAAGAGCGTAGTATATAAGATATATACGTTTACTCTAATATAAAAAGGTATAACTATAATTTCTTTATTATTAAACTTTTAATAAAAAAGTATACTATTATACCTAGTAGTAGTAGTATAGTAATCTAGGTCTAAGTAAATAAAAAAGGTAATAGAAAGAGAATTATACTACGTAGTAAATATATACTATATATTATTAAGTTATAGAATAATATAAGTTCTATTCTAAGTAGTTATAATAAACTTAATAGTGTTTTTTCTAGTAATCTTAAGCTATAATTCTTATTTATATACACTAATATACTTAGAGTAGTATTCTAGCTTAGAGAAAAAAGTAAGATTATTAGTAATATATTATAAGATACTACTATTATATACCTAGTATATAAATATAGAGGTAGAAGTAGTTACTATAAATATAAATATATTAAAACTATTAACTATATCTAAACCTATATACCTACTAACTATTTAGTTAGTTTTTTTTAAACTAGTAAAATACCTAGAGTTCTAAGCTAAGTTAGTACTAAAAATAGATATAAAGTAGTTATATATATAGTTAATATTTAGGTAGTTAATATTAGAGCTATTAAAGGTAGATATAAGTAAGAGGTTATAAGTAGATATAATAATATAGTTAATAAAGAAAGTATTTTTATCTATATTAGCTAGTATAAAGTCTATATTTAAAGTAGTAGCTATACTAGAAGTAGACTAGTTAGAGTAGATAGCCTAGTAATTCTTTTTATAATAAGTAGTAGTAATATAACTAAGCTTTCTATAGAAAGTATATATAGAAGTATTAGACTTACTAATATAATAATAGGTAGTAATAGAGTATTTAATATTACTATAGTACTTATACTTAGAGAAAGTAAACTTATTAAAATTATTATTAAGAATATAAAAAGTATAGAAGTTAGCTACTAAGATTACTTAAAGAGACTTATTCTTAAAAGCGTTCTACTTATTTTTATTATTATTCTAGTAGTTAAAAAGAAAAGTTTTATAAATTTTAAAAATATTATTAGTAATAAGAGTACTATAGTAAAAAAGCTTCTAGTAATTAAGAAACGCGTTATACTAGTAAAGAAGAACTCTATTAATCTTATTAATTAACTATAAATATAATAAAGTTTTACTAGTATTATAAAAGTTATAAAATATTTTTTTAAACTTAGATAGAAAAGACTAAATAGTAGTAGAATTAGTTATAGTAATTTTATCTAGCTTAAATAAAGTATAGTTAACTAAGATATTCTTAAAAGCTTTATTATTAGCTTAGATAGCGTAGTATATAAAATAAAAATTAAGTATATTAAGCTTCTTAAGCTTCTACTAAATTTATAGTTTAATAAATATATAAAGAAAAGTAATAGTAAAGTGTATAAACTTATTATACTTCTTTTACTACTAAAAAGTATAGTTATAGATAGTAAGCTTAGTAGTAGTGTTAAATAAAATTAAAGTAAAAATAGTAGCTTTTTTATATAAGTTAGTAGTAGACTAAGAATATATAGTATAGAAAGTAATATAAGTAGAAAGTAAAAGCTTTCTAGAGTTCTTACTAGTATTATTATAGTAGTTTATATAACTATAAATAAAGGTAACCTTAATAAAAGCTTTAGACTAGTTTTAGTAGTTATTAGAACTAGTAAGCTTTTTAAAGTTTTTACTTAAAGTAAAAGTAATATTATTAATAGTAAATATTATAAGTAATAAAATAGTTTATAAAAAATAAGTAAAAAAAAAAAATATATATATAGTAGTTAGTACGCTAAAAAGTTAAAAACTAAGTTATATAATAGTAATACTTAAAAATTATTACGTAACTATAGTATAAAAAGAAGTAGCTAAATTATATATAGTAGTGTAAAGGCTTATAACTTATAAAATAAGAAGAGAAAGATATAATAATTATTCTATATAAAAGAGAGAAAGCTCTATATATATACTACTAGGGCGACGCTAGTAAGTAAATTACGTAATAGAATCCTAACTAACACATAAGGCAGCTTAAAGTAGAGGCATACATGCACAATCGCTTACGTATAAACGTGTCCTCCTATCTCTACTGCAACCTCCTGCTCGACTACCGCCGCGGCGAACGTTACTTTGCCGAAACTCTGATTGACTGGGACCTTTCCAACAATACCCAAGGCTGGGAGCCTTCTTACACCGTCTTCAACCCCGTCTCTCAGGCTGAGAAGAACGATCCTGATGGTGATTATATCCGTAAATGGGTCCCAGAGCTCAAAGATGTCAAGGGAAAGGCGGTATTTGCTCCTTACGCGAGGTTGTCGAAGAGCGAGTTCGACAAGCTGGGTTATCCAAAACCGCATGTGGACTGGAAAGAGACGAAAGCTAGGGCGTTGGATAGGTTCAAACGAGGGCTGAGGAACGCGGATATCTAGGTGAGCGTGCGACTGTATATAGGGCGAGGTTCACACTACACCAATGTTGAAACCCATACGATGTGGATGCATGTAGCACTAGGCTCATGGCTACTACCTTGATGTAACCCTCTCCGGCAGTATCCGTGAAGTTGGCAATATGAATGATTGCTTTACAAGCAACAAAGGTGGCACAGCTCGCACCACTATCTTGATCTGGCAAAGTTTTCATGATCGAGAAAGAAATCGTCTCAAGTCTAGTGAGCCTTCCCCTACCAGCACACACGGGAATAAAACGACCAGATTATTGTGCTACTGCGGCTGACCACCAATAGAGCGGAGATGAACGATCGCACGATATATGCCCATCTGGAGCTACTTTTGTCTCCAGTCGGCAAAATCAATACCATGAGTAAATATAGAGTTGCGACAACGCGTAATGCTACTGATTAGTCTAAAGTACGCGCAACAATCTGCAGCCGACCCGAGTCACGATGTCGAATGCGCGCAACCCAGTGCTCGTGCACAATTTTCCCCAAAACCCCCACAAGCAGCACCTGACTCGTCTCTACATTTTTTTAATCTGCTTCCTCACCCTCCCAATTTCGATCTCTTGGGCCCGTAGATCTCTCACAACGGTGGCTAATTGGGGGATTGGGCCTTCGACTGCACCTACAAATGTCGATTGCGCAGTACGTAGTGCGGGCGGAACAAGGATACCAAACCATCTGAGAGGATCTGTAGGCTTTCCGACAGATCCGGTTTCTTCTTGGTTGTCCCTTGATCCTTGGGCGGGTTCGTCATCCAAATCGGAAGTAGGGCCTGTTTCTCCTTCTCTAGCTTCTGAACCTGTGGAAGGGAGGCCCGGTCCTTGGATTTCGTTCGCTTGTTCTGTTGATCTCATGTGGTTGTCAAGGCTCGCGTCCTGGCGAGTGGTAGCGGAAGATTTGATGGAAAAATGGGGTCGATCGTTCTTCTTGGTACATCCGTGTTCGGAGACATGGCTGTGGTCTGTCAACAGAGCACATAAGGTAGATAGACATTCCAGAGGATCGTTGTAGCACCCCTGGTAGCTATGAAATCTCGAAGAAAACTGTATAACTCACACCTTGCGTACACTCTGCATACGTTCGTCATAGCAGTCCTGTCCGTACCGGATCGCAGAGGACGAATTGTAAAAGTTTGCTTGAGCAAGCGACATGTAACCCTTGTTGGCATCAAAACCACGTGCCATTAACCAAACGTACACATTGCTTACCGAGGACAGCTCTGCGGAAAGCTGCTGCATAATGTCGTGATATTCATGCAGTGTATGCAAATAGTGTTCAAGTCGAGTATCCAAAACATTAAGAAGCGCATCTTTATCCCGCCTCGCAGCCATCTCTGCTCGATCCATTGGTGGGTCCTGTGCATCCGCCATGATGTTGCAGTCTTGCATGGATGGGAGTGAAAAAAGAGTGATGTAAGAGGAGCAGTGCGATGGGAGGTCGAGATCAGCCCAGAGCCAGGCTTAGGTTGGCGGGTGCTAAGACGCGGGAACCATACCGCATCGGCGTCTAGCAGCCGGGTAGCTCGCAGCTCGCATATCCGACACGACTGAGCCATTCCCAACTTTCCATCCACCCAACCACCCGCCATGTCGAAACCAAATCCATTCCTCAAGCTTTTCCGGCGATACTACTCACAGCCCGCATCGGCATTCTTCCGCACCGCCCACGCCCGTTCCCCACCCACGCGACCCCAATGTCCGCACACACGCATCCTCTTCCTCCGCTCACAAAGTCGCCGAGTGGGCGGCGGCCCCGGCCTGGACCCAAGTTTCGTCTCGATTCTCGACCGGCCGGCGAAGATGGCGCGAGTAGGAAAACAACATGGGCCTGGCCTAATCATCCTCGCGATAATCCCTGTCACAGCCTTCATACTAGGATGCTGGCAAGTGCAGCGTCTGGGCTGGAAAACCGAATTAGTCGCCCGCTTTGAAGATAGATTGACCTTCCCGCCTCTCGAACTCCCGCTGCGAATCGACCCGGCTGCAATTCAGGATTTTGACTATCGCAGGGTCTATGCGAGGGGCGTGTTGAGACATGATCAGGAGATGTTGATTGGGCCGCGGATTTTGGATGGCGAAGAGGGGTACACGGTTGTTACGCCGCTCGAACGGCGGGATGCGCGCGGCAATGTGCATAAGATATTGGCGTGCAGGGGGTGGATCAAGAAGGACGCTGCGCCGCAGTGGTTTCGCAAGAAGAATGGGGCGTTGCCTGAGGGTGAGGTTACGATTGAGGGCTTATTGAGGATACCGCCCAAGGGCAACATGTTTACGCCGAAAAACGAGCCGGAAAAGGGAAAGTGGTTCTTTCCCAGTGTCGAGGAGATGGCCGAGTATAGCGGGAGTCAGGCTGTGTGGGTGGAGGAGACGATGAGTAAGTAATCTGTCTTTCTTCGATGGTGTGATTGGGGTATCTAACTATGACACAGCGCCTGATTTGCTCACAAATTATGAACGTGAACCCAAGGGCGTACCGATTGGTAGGGCGCCCACCGTGAACCTACGAAACAACCACACGCAGTACATCTTCACATGGTACGGTTCGCCGCCTCGCTCTTTTCCTGCAAGCGATCATCTAACTCCAAGTAGGTACGCGCTCAGTTTCGCGACCTCAGTCATGTTTTGGATGGTCGTCAAGAAGCCCATGTCGGGCACCCAACGGAGAGTACGCCACAGCGTTGATTGGTCGTGAGACATTACCGTGCCTTTTCAGTCGTCATCTTCGTCTTCCTCACGGACAGCATTCAATCGTTTCCGTTTATATCTCTTCAACTTGGCCGGACGCTCCATACGCAGCTGCTGAAGTAACTCCCTAGGAAGCATCCTTTGCGCCAGAGAAAACGAGGTACAGGTACCGGTGGTCTTGCGAGTCCTGCTTGAAAGTCAGTGTACCGAACATATATGTCTGCTATAAGTCTGCACGCCATGTACGCCAAACAGAGTCGAGTAGAGCAGCATACCTCTTCATAAGCGCGATGACATCGCTTTCTTCAATCGTCGTTCGTCCACCGTGCTGTGCATATGCTGCGAGATCTATGCTAATCTGCTCGAAGAAGTCGTTGGTCGTGCGTACGAGTGCGTCGAGTGTTTCTGTATTGAGTTGGGTCTTGCCTCCCTGCGACTTCAAGAAGCTCAAAGTGAGCTTCTTGACAGGCGCGGCTGGAAACGAGGGGAAGCCGATACCGTGTTCGGATACCATGTATTCTTTCGGTTTGCGAACACTCTTCATCTGGGCTACATGTGTTTGCTTGGGCGACTTGGCCTGCAGGCTTCGATCAATTGCAGATTCTTCTTCTCGATAGGCGACTAGTTCGGCGTCGTTGTCTGCAGGGGGATCTGATGCCCAACCTAACATGCCGGCGGTTACTGTTTGGTCTTTGCCGTCGAAAGCAGCAGCTATTCCGTCCTTGTCGTCGCTATTGAGTGAGTCGTAATCATCGGACTGGTGCAGAAGCTCGTCATCCGGCTCTTGTTCGTCTTCTTCCCGCTCGTCTTGAAATGCTTGTACGTCTTCTTGGGCTGGCACACGCATGCGCTCCGGTATCATAAAGCGGAAGGTAGGCTCTTCTAAATCGTCCTCTGCCTCTCCAAATACGCCCAAATCCTCCTCACTCGGCCTTGCGTCTCTTCGCCCGGTCAGTGCTTGTACTGTGGTTTCGTCTCCATCTAGAGCTTCGTCGATTGCAGGATCAAAGAGGCCATCTGCGCGCGTGTTGATGAAGGTGCCATCGACCTCGTACTCCTCCTGGACCGCCCCGAGCTCGCTTAGGTCGCCGAATCGCTCACTCTGCCTTCCCGTGAACATGAAGCGTGGATCCTCACTGATGGCTCGCCGTCCAAACTCGAGTGATTGTACAGTCCCGCCATCGACGTCGTCTGGTAGGTCTGGTAGGAGAGACTGCCGTGGTGGGGCACTGTGGAAACTATCGTCGTCGTCGTCGTACATGTTCTCCAGGGGCATTGAAAGACGGGGCGCAGGCATGGCAGGGCCGTCTTCGACGTCTGGAAGGTCGAGGGCGGAATGGCGCGTTCGCCGAGGTAGGGCTTGTGGGGAGGGCTCGGCCGGGCGCGGTTCACGAGCGAGGGCTGCATAGACAGTCAGCTAGGTGAGAGATGGCGGCTGCAAGAGCCGTACCTCTGCTAAGATGGCGCAGTATGTCCCGCGGTGTCTCCCTCTGTACGCGGCCGCTTCGTCTCCGGGTGTTTCCTGGCGTCCTTGCCGCATTGGCTCGCTCTCTCAGGGCTCGTATCGCGTGGGGAGTAGTGGGTGCAATCCTGCGCGAAGGAAGAGGGCGAGCTGCGGGTCCGCCCCGCGGTGTCGCGCCCGATGCTGGTGTGCGAAGAGCTGGCGTCCGTCTGCTTGCTGGAGTAGGGCCCACACTAGTGGCCTGGTGGGAGGGTGTCGTGGGCTCCATGGACGCGTCGTTGTCGGGTGTCGGCTGCAAGTCGCGCCGCGGGGGAAGGCGCTGCGTTTTGCGCGCAGACTCGGCCATGGCAAGAGAGGCATGCGAGAGGCGAGGTGGGTGCCCAGGCGGGTGTTGATGGGCGTCAGGGAAACGCGTCGCTTACCAAGGTAGCGCGACTTCCCCGGCGTGCATCTGCGCTAGCCGCTTATCGATAGCAGCTGAAGCTCGATGCGCTGCAACTTTTTCCGTCGCGAACTCAGGTGTCGCGCCGTCACACAAAACACTAGTCTCACCATGTCCGACTCGGAATCAGAGGGAGGCGTGCCCCTGATGGAAGCCCAGTTCGATCTTGACGCGTCGTCGAAGAAAAGGAAACGGCAAGCCGAGCCCGAAGCCAGCAAGGACGGCAAAAAAGCAGCCAAGAAGGCCAAACGCAAAGAGAAGAAGAAGCAGAAAGCAAAGGCGATTTCTGAAGACGATCTGGACCAAGGGCTGGGAGTCAATCACGCTTTCGAGCGCATGGATGGTCAGCTTGTTGCCGACTATGTCAACGCACGAACACGGCTTTACGGGAAGGATTTGAGCAGTGTCGAGCTCGAGGACTTGTGGATTTCTGGTGAGTGTTTGAGCGCCCGAGACATATCGTGAAATGCTGACGTCAAGCAGCGCGGACGGTGCAGGACAGTAGCAGCTGGACGGAGCCGCGAACTACAGACAAGCTGCCTGCCTTTCTCAAGAAGCAGGCAGGGACGCTGGAGGCGACGCCATGCAAGCCGCCCGGCGCTCCCCACACGCTTGTAGTGACGGGCTCTGGGATGCGAGCGGCAGACGTCTGCCGATGTCTCAAGTCTGGGCTACCTACCCAAGGAGTCGAGAAGCCCAGCGTGGCCAAGCTGTTTGCAAAGCACCTGAAGCTCGCAGACCAGGTCGCGCATTTGAGCAAGAGCAGAATCGACTACGGGGTTGGGACACCGGATCGGTTGATAGCGCTCTTGCAAGAGGGAGCCTTGTCGACGGCCAACTTGAAACGAGTCGTGGTGGACGTGTCGTACATTGACGGGAAGAAGCGCGGCATTCTCGACATGAGAGAGTTGCACGAGGCCGTGGTCAGGCTGGTGGTGTGCAAGCAGCTGGTGGGCGAGGACAGGCAAGGCGGCGAGGGACTGTTTGTGTGGTATTGAAGCATGTAGGCGTAGCACGAGCCCGTAGCTAGCTAGCACGGCGGATGGCAGGCGTGAGCAGCGTGTTGCACAAGGGTTTCAAGAGGGTACGCGCTCGTCGAGCTTGGTCGCTCCAGCTCCAGCTCGCTTCGTGACCCGCCGCCTGCCAAGCGATAAAACGCCCCCCTACGCTGCAGATAGCTCCCGCGCCTTCACAGAAGCTACCTGCTACCCGCATCGTGCTGCGCAGTCTCGCCGGTGCGTCCTCTACCTCCCACGCGCCGCCTCGCTGCATCTGCATCGTGCCCTGCCCTGTCCTGCCCTGCCTGCCTGCCTGCCTGCCGCCCTGCCTGCCCTGCCCTGCCCTGCGCCCGACTCGATCCGCTCCACCCTCGCCGCCCCGTTGCTCCGCCGAACCGGGTCCGCCAAAGCCACGCTCCCCGGGCGACACCTCGCGCACCATGGCTGCTCCCGCGACGCAATCGCTCAAGTGCGTCGTGACCGGCGACGGCGCTGTAGGCAAGGTGAGCCTCGCCGCCCCCGCGACAGCCGCGCAGCCTGCTAACCGCGCAGACATGTCTCCTCATCTCGTACACGACCAACGCCTTCCCGGGCGAGTACATCCCCACCGTGTACGCCCGCCCCTCGCTGCACCACGCGTGAGCTAACTCGCCCAGCTTCGACAACTACTCGGCAAATGTCATGGTCGACGGCAAGCCCATAAGCCTGGGGCTGTGGGACACGGCCGGCCAGGAGGACTACGACCGACTGCGCCCGCTCTCGTACCCCCAGACGGACGTGTTCCTCATCTGCTTCTCCATCGTCAGCCCCCCGTCGTTTGACAACGTCAAGGCAAAGGTACCAAGCCGCCCGCCACGCCGCGTGCGCACCCGCTAACCCCCTGCCAGTGGTACCCTGAGATAGATCACCACGCGCCCGGCGTTCCCATTATCCTCGTCGGCACCAAGCTCGATCTGAGGGACGATGAGGCGACCAAGGAGTCGTTGAGGCAGAAGAAGATGGCGCCCATCCAGTACGAGCAGGCCGTCATGGTCGCAAAGGAGATCAAGGCGCAGAAGTACCTCGAGTGCTCCGCCCTCACACAGCGCAACCTGAAGAGTGTCTTTGACGAAGCTATTCGGTACGTCCCCATGTGCTCCCTGCATGACTGTCCTAACCTGCCCCAGCGCCGTCCTCAGCCCCCGTCCCCAGCAGTCGGCGACCAAGAACAAGAAGAAGTGCACCATCCTATAAGCCGATACCAGGGCCCAGGGGCCACGGCTTTGGCCTGACTGGGAAAAGACCAACAACTTGGATATGCCACTCACTCCCGACACTGTACACGGTCGGCATCATTGGGAAGCCCAAGCGGAACGGCGGGACCAAGCAGAAGGGGCACATGCTGTGCAGCACCTTCTGGCTTGATGTTTGGATATAGAGCGAGTCTAGCATTGGCTTATTGCAGCATTACCCTTCTTCGGCGTGGAGGTTTCATGGGCTTGGCATTACCGATAGAACTGTTTATTGCATCTTTTCCCTTTGCACATCTCCAACGCCGTGTGAATAAGCCACTGAGTGAAGCGGGCGCTGACGGCCGCCGGCCATGCTCGTGCGTCGTCTGCCCTCGGTACCACGCGCCGAGCAGGTTCCCAGGCTAATCCCCGCGGTAGTGCAGACATGGAGCCACCACCACCACCCACCAACATGTTCCACCAAGGCAGCCTACAGAGCGGAATCGCGCTTGCCATTCAGGAGCAGAAACTCGTTGCCTGCTTCGTTCGAGGTACGTGACGGTGCACTATCGGAATCTGGGTAGCATCGTGGCTGACTAGCTGCGTAGACGACGGCGCCACGAGCCACGAGTGGGAAGGCGAGTGGCTGAAGAGCGGATGGGTACGTTGGGACTCGGCCAGGTTTTCACAACACGCGCTGATGATGCATGTCTAGCTGTCGACTCTGCTCCACCAAAAAGCGGTCGTCCTGCGACTCGAAGCGGGCTCGACCGAAGCCGGTTTTCTGGCTGCCTTCTCCGATGTCTCGAGCGTGCCCACTTTCGTCGTCATCCAGAACGGCCAACTCCAAGTTCAACTCAAGAGCGATGCCACGAGGAATGACTTTATCAACTCAATCCGACGCGTCCTGGGAGCGAATCCCATCCCAGCCTCCAACGCAGCACCAACCTCTCCCCCACACGCAAGCACACCAGAACCTACGAATAGTATAGCGAATGCTGCAGCCGAAGACGACCTGTATGGCCTCCCCGAAACCTCACTACCCACCCTCACGTCCAACACACCAGGCAAGCAAAAAGCCACAGGCTCCCAGCACCCCACTCTCCCATCCACATCCGCCACCAAAGCCCAACAAGAAGCCCGCGACGCCCTGCGAAAGAAGAAACGAGAAGATGCCGAAGAGTTAGCCCGTATAAAAGCACGAATAGAAGCCGACAAAGCAGCGCGCAAAGTAGATGCCGAATTGCGCAAAGCAGAACGCGAGAAGGAGAGGAACAAGGGCGCACTACGAGCCCCCGACACATCACAGCCAGTGCCAACGTCCTCGCGAGGCACCAACTCCAAAACCGTCGCTCTCAATGTTCGTTTGTTCGATGGCCGCACCATTCGCTCTACATTCCCTCGCTCCGCCACCCTGCAGACTGACGTGCGGTCCTGGGTTGACACTGAGTTTGGGAAATTGACCCAGGATGACGAGAACATCAACAACAAACAACTGCCTCCTTACTTTTTCCGACATATACTCGCTCCATCGCCCAGTCGTGAGCTCTCTGCCGGCGACGAGGCCGTCGAGTTGGGCGATATTGATCTAGCGCCCAGTGCGACGTTGGTACTGGTGCCAGTAAAGGGTTACTCGGATGCGTATTCCGGGGGCACTGGAGGAGGTATAGCAGGAGCCGCGACGGGCATCGTTGGCGGGGCCTTTGGGCTTCTCACTTCTACTGTTGGCTACGTGGGGAGTACCATCAGCTCCGTTATAGGCTACGGGGCGCAACACGAGCAAGGTGGTGATGGTAGTAGCAGTAACAACCATGGCGGTGGTGGTCGTACCATGGGCAGCAGACCTACCCGGGATCCCAGTCACGATCCTGTGCTGGATCAGGCAACTTCGGGTGGGATGAGGGTAAGAACGCTGGCAGACCAGCGGGCAAGAGATGTACCTCAACAGTTCTATAACGGGAATCAGTTGAGTACTGAACCTAGGCCTGAGGACAACGATAAGCGAGATTGAGGCTGTGGTCTTATTCTCAAGGACATGATGCAAATAAGGTAGATGACCCTAAGTCCATCGCCGAGCAGCCAAAAGACGTCTTCCTCGTGCTGACGTGACAAGAGGAGGAGTTCGTGGTGCGTAGGATGGCTGAAAAACAAACGCTTTTGTGTCCTTTCCATCCGGGACTTGCCATCATCCCCTCATCTTCGCTACACGATTAGAGCTGCCATTCGCCATTCAAACAAAAGCCTTTTCTTCATCCACAGACTCCATCAGCCCCGCCGCCTTCAACAGTTCACTATCCACCATGGTCCCTGCAAATGGTACCTGGGGACCCTCAACCTGCGGCTTCCAATCCTCGCGCTTCTCGACCACTTCACCCGCGGCCAGTCCGCCGTGACTCAGCGCCTTGATCTCTAAAGACTCAATCTTCGCCTCCATGCTCTTCACCTTAACTTCCAACTTGACGCGACCCTTGTGTAGCTCTGCAGCATCAGTAGGGCAGGCAGACAAGGCAACTTGTAACTCGGCGAGCCGCTCGCGAGCTTCATCTAGCTCAGCGTGCTCAGACATCGTCTGCGGCAAGAGATTTTGCAAGTAGAGCCCAGTGTCATTCTCGTGGTCTGAAGATAGTGCAAGAGGATTTTCGGGGCTGGGCTTGGGGGCTTCGGTAAAGATTTGGAGGCCAGGTGGGTTGCGATAGTGGACCGGGTCTTGCGCGACGTCTTGGAAGAAAGAGAGAATGGCATGCTGGGTGGGAGGGTAGGTAAAGATGCATTCACCAACCGAATTGTCGCCGCCCGCGAAGGTAGGGCAGATGACAGCTTGACCCGAGGACCATTCTGTGCTTTCTTCTCCACTAGTAGAGGTTGATGTTGCGGTTGGAGTGGAAGCCCCGGCCGAAGAGGTGACGCTGAGAGCGAGGCTGTGGAAAGCCTTCGTTAGAGCCGAGACTGGGCCTGTAGGAATCGAAGCGTGCCAAGACATGTGCTTGATTGATTGCATGGTTGATGGTGTGTCTGCAGAACAAGGCCCGTTGACTTGTCGATTGTAGTCAGTCGGTAAGTCGACACAGTGCTGGGGGTTGCATGTCAGATCGCTGAATCGCCACTGACGTGTGCGCTGATGCATGAAAGCGCGAATCTGTTCATCTTTGATTTGGGAGTCGTCGATCAAGGAGTGAATGAACGCCATGGCCGTGATACGGGTACCATACTTGCCGACTATAACAATACGTTAGTGTAAACCCCTCAGGTGAAAGCAGGGCCAGGAGACGTACAGTCGTGCGTGAGCAGGTTCAAGATACTCTCCGTTCCGTCTTCAATAGCGATGACGTAGACTTCTGCGTCGGCTGCAACACGATCGGGGTTGCAGATGACTTCGTCAAAGACAGTCTTGACATGTTTCTTGGCATTTTCATGACCTGGAACACGGTTCTCGTTGTCACGGATGCGGACCATGTCGTGGGCGATTGACTTGCGTGGCATGGCGGACCAACTGCGTAGAGTCATGGCCTGGTCGTACTTGTGCGAGTACAGCAGCTGGCCCGCGTTCAAGACAATCAAAGCAGGAGTGGTAGTCTTGTCTTGGAGAACATGACCATCTTTGAAAATCTTCGCGTCCCTTTCAGCGGTGTTGTCAGTGTCCGAGCACTTGACCATCTCCTTGGCAAAGTTGACGACTGAGCCACCGTTGATGCCGAGTTCCCGCTGCAACTGTCTATACGCCAGGATGCCTAGATCTTGCATGGTGTCGTTTACCAGTACAATCAATCGCTTTCGCGTCTTGAGGAGGTCAGGCGGTGGAGCAAGGATAGGTACATGTGGACCACTGGGCTTGGTCATGGCGAAGTCGGGAAGGTGGATGCACTCGAGGCCGAGGTAGGACAGGCGCTTCTCTGCTTCCTTGCGCTGGCAGGCTTTGATGTGTTAGCTGCGAGTGTTTCAATGGAGATTGGAATGTACTTTGCATGGCCTCGCGGCGCACCTCGTTGACGCGCTCATTGTTGGTCGCGTGGTAGACATAGGCCTTCTCGGGGGCGTCGATCATACGGACATGACCTGAGAGGTTGATGAAGAAGCCAAGTTGGTTGAGGTCGGCTGGAAATGATGGATCCGGCTCCAGAGTGTCTTCTATGCGGCGGAACATGCTGACGCAGATGCTTGAGGGCGTCTATGGACCGTAGACAGTGGCGAAGTGAGTTGCTAGAAAACGGCAGCCAGAGCTATTGCGGGAGTAGGGATTGTAGGTGTAATGGCTACGGAAGTCGGTTTTTATCACTGGCGCGGTGGGTAGCCGCTGCCGTCGTTTGTAGCGCGTGGTGAGAGCAAACCGATTAGGAAAGGGTGTCTCGCACGGTGAGAGAGCGAGGGGAGGGCAAAGTAGACAGTGAGATGGGTCAAGCACGAAGATTTCGCACGCAATGTCTCACAGTGTGCGCCCGAAGAGCGGCCATGTGCAAGGCTACATGTGTAGCCAAAAGTAGGTGGGATTGTACATGGAACCAGTCGGGTTCTCGTAGAAGCACAGCTACCAACTTGCCTTCTTCACGCCCGGCAGGTTCCCCGCGAGAGCGTTTACGCGAAATTGATACTGTAGCATCGTCAGCCCTGCATCGCGCGAAGAGAAGGCCATGGCATACTCGGCCCATTCTGAAGTCGCTGAAGACACCACGGCCCTTGCCGCCCATTATACACCTGTTCTTGATCTGGGTGTAGCGTGTGTAGCAGTGCATCTGCGAGAGCTGGAGCTGAGCCTGCGCGCGGACTCGTTGCGGAAGCGTGGTATTGCGGATCAGGTATCGCAGAGCTTGTCTGTGTCGTCGTCAGTCGTTGCGCCATGGGAGCATTAGGTGCAGAGGCGCATGCCGTTCTGGCTCATTCTCCGAGTACACCTTCCGCTTGGTGTGGTCGCGAATATTGCGAATCTTTGCGAAACATCCAATGTCCAGCTTGGCCGCGCGGAATTGAGACATGGTGGCGGTGGGCGGAATGGGTTGGATGTCTGCGCGCACTCGACCATGAGCCACAACATTGTTCAATCCCGGTGTTCTGCCGCCCGATGCCCGCTCCCCACCAATCAGCGCAATCCAGCCTCTGACGCTTTCCCTTGCACTATATACTCCAACGCCGCCGAACCGTTCGAGCTCACAGCACTGTTCCTGAACAGTACATGTTGGCAATCTAGTCTGCAGCGCTACCCAACGTCCAGCTGGCATGTTTACCGCACATGATGTGAAGGACATCTTCGCCCTCTTCCCTCCGCAAGACACTTCCGATTTTGTTCCGCGGCTTGCGCTGTCCTCCAGCGGCCATGCTTTCGTTACGCTCCAGTTTGTCCAGGCTCGTTTCAGAAGCCGCGTGACCAAAGGTGAGCGTTCGTAATCTCTCTTGGCTACATTTGCTGAAGCATGCACCAGAGACACAGCGGATACCGGTTTCCACATTGGCCAACGACCTCGACATAGGTCGATTACTTGTCCATCAACTAGTCCAAAGCCACCCCAAGCTATGTTTGTTCAGCGCGGACGAGGAAAGCATTATTCCCATAGATGAGCGAGACACGATAGTCACTCGCCTGTCATCTGGGGGACTGGCATCCAAGGCCGAATTCATTGCCCAGCACCGTGTCTCTTCCAAGAGTCTTGACTTCCTCCTGTCCAGTCAAGATTATAACGTCCTGGAAACTAACGGCTACATCTACACTAAGGCCTATGCTCACAAGATCGCGGACATAGTAAAGAGTATGATTCAAAAGACGGTCGATGATGTCCGGTAAGTGCAGGACTTGCCTTAGATGCATCGCATGCTCACTCTGTACAGGACTCTCAATATCAAACCAGCTGATTTGCCTGACAATCCCCCTACATGGTTCATTCTGCATACTCTCGAGCGACTCTTGCAGTCTGAAAATCTTACTTCCAAGGTCAACATCCAGGAAACTGACGTTAGCGTTTTGTGCACACCCAAGCGATATCTAGAATCCGAACGCGATACCACAGTCTACGATCTGCAGTCCGGCGCTCTTGCCTATCTCGACGTGCAAAGATTCGCCTCCGACTTCATCGAACTTTTCCCGTCTTCCCAAGTCGCATTGTCTTACTTCCAGCAACTCTCAGGCATTGAGGTAATAGACTCTTTCGCTGTATCACTGATCTGGATCTCCAGGTTAGAGCAAGATTGCGTACGCATCCTTGAACAAGAAGGTTGTACCCTTGATGTCACCGAAGTGATTGGCTCCCGTCTTCCACCAACTATAAGGGAGCAGGTGGCCGGCCGAGCCAAGAACTCCATTGTCGCTCACTTCTCCGAGACCACTGGAGGGCTGAAGATAGTGCGCGTCGGCACTCTGATACTCACTGAAAGGCGCCGAGACGGAGCACTCGACGAGCTCGCTGGCTACGCAAAAGAAGCTGCAAAGGCACAATGGCAAAGTCTACACGACGATCCAACCCTAGTGGAAGACGTGAAATTCACTCGAGACAAGATCAAAGACATGATTCCTCCCACAGGCCTTGTTCAGCGCCTTCTCCTCCAACAAAAACCAGTTGAGAAGTTATTAGAAGAGCGCTTCTGGTTCCACGTGTCCTCGTTCGAAACACTGAATGAAGAGGAGTTTGCCATGTACTGGACAGATCGCATGCTCACCCGATATCGGATATACAGCGCCGGCTTAGTTTCAGTCATGGACCAGAAAGTGCACAGCCAGCTTGCTCAGGTCTTTGCAACTTACGCACACAAGGACCTTATACCCGATACTATTGCCAAAGCACGAGCGCAGGGTCTAGTCCTCAGCCGCAAAACAAGAAAGAATGTTACCAAGCTCTCGAGTGTGCTGGAGTCCACGACGCCTCTGGATAATACATCACTATCTTCAGCTTTGGAGAAATTCAATAAAAAACAAGGTATCAACCATCCATCTACAGATTCGCTGGCTGCTGCCAAGCAATCGATGCTCGACGACATGCTTCGCCGAATCAAGAAACAAAAAGCTTCCGACGGCCCCGTACTCTTCTTAACGCTAGTTATCTTGCTCTTCGCAAAGCAGTACGATGGTGTCGTATATGCAACGGGAAAGTTCACACCAAAGCTGTTGAAGTTATTGAAAGGCAAGCTGGAGTATGAGCAGTATGAGCAGCTTGAGAGATGGAAGGAAGCTGCCAAGGCCAATACCTTGAGCGCGGAGGATAGGGAGGGTATGGCCAGGATGGCAGCGACGTGAGATCATTGGTTTCAATGCCTACGACAACTCCAAGATCGCGCTTGTGATCGAATCCGGTACTTTCATTTGGGGGTTACATGCAAATGCTTGTCATGGTCTTTGCGACAGGTTGGCTTGTTCATCTATACCTCAGATAACACTCGGAAGATGGTATACTGGTAGAAACCCACGCTTACCTAGCATTAGAACAATGTTTGAGTCTTTCACGCGGCATCTATAGCCTCACTTCGTCCGAACCCTCTTTTCAACTGCGCACACTGTTTGCACCAAGCGGATGGTGGTACTACTCCCATTTGCGGCTGCGATTTTATCGAACGGCACATCTGATGTTGTTCTTCTCTTGTGCTTGCTTCTTCACTAATCCACAGGTTATCATTCGTCATGATTGAGAACTAAGTAGCGAGTATTGAACAACCACCGGCAGATGGACAATAGTCACAAATCATGTACGACTTGATGCACGTCGTGAAGTTGCCATGAGAAGTCGTACCTTGGCTTTCATGCGCAAGACTACCTGCCTTGCATGTCCCAGAAGCACCGCCTAATGCAACACCCAGCATCTGTGTGTGTGTCTCTCTCTCTTTGTTTACCTATCCTCGCTTCCCTATACATCCTTCATGAGTTCCTCGAGCTCATCATCATCGTCCCAGTTCCCTCCCCTCCTGTTGACAACAATCTTCTGCTCTTCCTTCTCCTGTTGCTCTGCTACAGCCCCCAGTATCTCTTTGAGCTGATCTTCTGTAACCTTCTGTCGTAATTGGCCAGTCCGCGCAAGCATTATAAGTCTGTTCTCGATGTCGGTTGCGCGCGATTCCTTGACAAGGCGGATACGGCCGAGACGGTCGGCTGCTTCGGGGAGAAGGATTTGTGAGAGAATGGAGGAACGCTGGTCGGCTGATGGGAAGGGTTAGCCCGTGGTTGCTAATGGACGGCGGGGTTTGGACGAGTGGGCGAAGGGGGAGTGTGTGGTCAAGTGATGCATGTCTGCGCCAGGAGAGATTCTGAAAACGTACCCTCTTGCTGCCTGTAACTCTGCCTTAGTAAGAAACCTTGATCTTCGTGTATAATTGTATTTACTTTCGCGAATCTTGCTCGGCGCCTTCGCCTCCTTGTCCTCCGCTTCCCCCGCCCTGTTGTTGTAACTGCTGCAGGCGCGCGCGTCTTATCTGCTCGAGATCTTCGTCGGACATTTCGGTATTATGTAGAGTATCTGAGGGCTCGACGCGAAAGGTTGTTAGAGTAACGGCCTCTGCGGCGCAAGTACTGGTCGAGCAAAAGTGTGTTTATGCGGGGAAGTTCGCGGGTTGCTAGGGCACGGTCCCAATCGCACACCCCCCACTCCCTAGGTAGCTTGTCAGACACCTCAACCAAGAGGAGAATGCAATCTTGACTAAGACTGGGGCCTGGTCTTAGTTTGGGCTGGTCATTGAAGGCGCGCTCTGGTATGCGGGATGATTAAGATAGCATTGAGCTGCTTCGCTGGAGTGTTGCCCGGCTGGTGTGTCGCCGACGCCCCAAAGATGCTCAGGGTGACGATAAAGCTGCAGCCGTCATCTCACGATGCTTTCTTTACATGTCGATCTTGGATATATCTACGGATGCTCTAATTGCTATACTCCAGGGTGTGATTAGGAAGACTGAGAGGTGGAACTGACGAAGCTGGCTCAATGTATCGCTGCATTACGAAATTGACGACGGAGATGGACACGCAGTTGGCGTCATCGGCCATCGCGTCGGACATACTTTTAGTACCAGCTGGAAAAACAGCTCTACATAGCTAGGCTGTGGACAAAGGGCGGAATGATAGAGACAATTTGTCGCTCACGACTTGTGTTTTACGAAGAACGTGTTTAGAATGACAAACTCAAGTCACGACTGATAGCGTGCGGCTATTCTAGTATGCTTTCAAGTATTCCACTTCGATTAGCCCTCTCGTCTAATCTGATTTCGCAACATGAAGCCCCCGCGTGTTGCATTCCACATTACGAGGCGGGTATTGACGCTTCTGCGACACCTTCAGCCCGCGGCAAATTTGCTACTACTCCTTAACTTCTCCCCAAACTTCCATAGCATGAACGGCGCTGGGACACCCAAAGCCAAGGCAATAAAGCCCAGCACGCTATTTCCCCATCCAAAATCCAACTCGTCATACATGGCCGGTGCAAACAACGGAAATCCAAACCCAGCCAACGACCTGAGCACCGTCGCCGCCGCGATAGCACTCGCAGCGTAGCGTGTATAGCTGTCAACAAGATAAGTCTGTATACACTGAAACCCCACAATAACACCCGCGCAAAATGTCGCAGCACCGATATTAGGCATGATCCAATGTACCTGCGCTTGTGCACTCCAACCATACCAAAAAAGGCCGATTGGAACGAGAAGAGACGCAGGGATCATGATTGGAATGCGAAATTCTGGTTTACCGATGCCGTTGTTGCGTTTCTTTAGGCGGCGGTAGAGGGCGTCATTGAGGGGTGCGGTGATCTGTGTGCCGAGGAAGAAGCCCATGCCCATGGAGATGAAGTTCAAAGAACCAATCCCTATAGTCATGCCATAGCGCGTGACCCATAAGCTGGGGAAGGTCGAGAGCATCAGATACATGAGGCCATATAGGTAGGCCATGTAGCAAGCTAGAACTTGCACAATGGGCTGGGTGATGAGCAGCTTGAACGGCCTTCTCATGGCGATTTTAATAGTTGTTGCAAGCGTTCGATCAGGATTATCGAACTCAGTGTGTAGTTCTTCGTTGCTTGTCTCTTTACGCAGTTTGTTTCGCTTCCACTCAAGGAGCTTTGGTGCGTATGTTTCTTGCAGAAAGAAGAACCCGAAACATTGCACCATTGCTGTGAAGATCGTGGTGGCGTAGAAACACCATCTCCAAGTCGTGTTTTGAGAGATGAAACCACCGGCAATAGGCCCGATAGCCGGGCCCAGTAATGGAGCCAGTGAATAGATTGCTATGGCTCGACCACGATGCTCGGGAAGGAAACAATCGCTAAGAACACCCTAGTAAGTCAATTAGCATTTTATCTTCCAACGGCATTTTTCAGGAAGAGGGTACATACACCACCAATAGCTAATGGTGCAGATCCGCCTAAACCACTGAAGAATCGGAATGCCATGAGCTGGCCAGATGTCTGAGCAAATCCACATCCCAAATTCCAAGCCAAGTAGAACAAGTTTGACAGCTGCAAGACGATGACTCGTCCATAGATCTCCGATAGTGGGCCTAGGAACAGCGGTCCAATTGCATACGCCAGAACGAAGATGGATAAGGTAAGCTGGGCTTCGACTTCATTTGTGATGCCGAATTCAGCACTGATGCTGCTCAGAGCTGGCGAGATCATGGACGAGGATATTGGCGAGACGAGGGTAAAAGAAGAGACAATGATAGTTGCTGCCCATTTCCGCTTCATGGACCCTACCAGCTGTTAGACCACAACTTATCTGTGCTTAGTTGGGGAGACCAAACCTACAGTTCTTTGGATTATGTGGGTCGAACTCTGAATCCCATGTGACCTTATGTATGTTAGATGTTACAGTAGCAGTCAATGTCTGTCAGGTAGAATATACCAAATTTGGGTCTTTGACGGACCGCGTAGACTTTTGCTTTTCTAAACGTGATAGTGCCACCACATCACGCTCGTATGGAATACCACCCCGTATCTCCTCGTAAGTCGTATTTTCCTCTTGAGCGGTATCGTCTTTTACTTCTTTCCCACCTTTGTCATCGCCGCTGTCGCCGCCGTCGTCGTTGTCACTGGACGAGTTCTCGTCTCGCCTTTCAGTCTCAGTCTTGTGCAATGAACTGGCGTCCTCGTCGACATGGGTTCCCTCGCCATCTTCATGGTGATAAACCGAATGATCGTCTGGGAATTGACTGGACAAGATACGATGTAATGGTGCGTTGTCGAGTCGCCGTTGTCGGGATACTGATCGGCACGTGGATGATCTTTGAGCTCGTGGTCGTCTTGTGCTTTCCATGGTGACGTGAGACTGAGAAGAGGCGTGCACAAAGACTGGGTATGCTGTCAAATACGTGTAGCAGACTATGATTACTAGTGTAGGGCGTGAACTTCCATGTATATAAATATAACTCGTCTGTGCTTTTCAACGATAGAGAAGGTTGTGGTGAGGGAAACAGTGTCGCTATGCCGGCGTTCAAGCTTGGAAAGTGAATAGATACAGAACTTGCATGCGACGAACTTCGCGATTTTGATAGAGTCTGCACGCTCGGTTTTAAGCACGTGTAGGACGAATCTCCGTGGATCGCGTGCCCCACAACGTTGGTCCTTTGATTCAGATACTGTCGGTGCATCGGTAGACATTATTTCCCGAGCGCAGACTGAAAAGGAGTGGATACGGCTAGTCGTGCAGGGTTATCTGGGTGTGGCGTAGAAGCTTGGTAATATTGTAGAGGCCGGTGGTATGGGGTGACGTCAGGGGTTGCTGATTTCCGGCGCTACTGTCGCGTCGTGTAGTAGGCGACGGTTATTCTCTTAGGTTAAAAAGTTATTCTACTAGGTAACTCCTTAAATTAGAAATGCACCTACCTGTCTATATAATCCTCTATAATATATTAACTATATTACTTTTTTTATATATTCTTTAATAAATATTATACATAAAGTATAAATTAAAGATCTTACTAAGTTAAAACCTAATTTTTTAAAATTTTAGTAGTTATATATTACTTTTCTTAGAAAGTATTAAAATTCTACTAAATTTAAGCTATTTTAGTAATATTAGCTTTTAAGATAGCTTTAATTACTTACTACTATAGCCTCTACTATAATACTTAGATATAGCTATATTAATCTAAAATTTAGAAATATTTATTATATAGGTACTAGGCAGCTATAGTTAAATTTTAAAAAAATTTAGCTAAGGCGTTAGTATATAGTAAAGAAGAACTTATAGATACTATTATAATTATAATTATAATAGTTAAGTTTAGTTTTCTTTACTCTACTAATACTAATATACTTACTATAACT